AAGGCAGTGGTGGGGGTGTAGAAATTAACTTTCCACCCTACTTTGCTCTGGCATTCTGGCATTCTGCTCTGGCATTCTGGCATCCACCCTACTTTGCTCTGGCACCTACAGTGCTTTTTATCCTGCTTCAAAACTGATAGTGATCTAGTGTGATACCTGCTGTTTTCTTTTACTTACAGTTGATGTATACTTTAGCTTAAACTTTTATTTTCAATCTTGGGATCAGTATGGTTTTTTTTGTTTTGTTTCGTTTTTTTTTTTTTATAATTTTTTTTTTAAATTTATTTCTAAGAGAGAGAGAGAGACAGCGTGAGCAGGTGAGGGTCAGAGAGATAAGGAGACACAGACTCTGAAGCAGGCTCCAGGCTCTGAGCTGGCAGCACAGAGCCCGACGCAGGGCTCAAACCCACGAACCGCGAGATCATGACCTAAGCGAAAGTTGGATGCTTAACCGACTAAGCCACCCAGGCGCCCCATTTCGTTTTGTTTTTAATGTTTGTTTATTTTTGAGAAAGAGGCAGGATGCAAGCCAGGGAGGGGCAGAGAGAGAGGGAGACAGCTGTCAGCACAGAGCCTGACACAGGGCTTGAACTCATGAACTGTGAGATTGTGGCCTGAGCCGAAGTCAGACACTTACTGGGTGAGCCACTCACATGCCCCTGGATCACTGTGTTTTATCACAGCCTTTGTTTACAGCATAGCTTACTGATTTTGTCTTTGTGATCTAACCTGAGAGGTTTATAATAGAGTTAACCATTTACAGTTATTTTATATTGTGCTTTGTTTTGATTGCCTTTTTTTTGTTTTTTCTTTTAACCTGTGTGATCTGGTTTTCATCTCCCTTTTTTTTTTTTTTAATATTTATTAATTTTAAGACAGAGAGAGAGACAGAGACAGCATGAGCAGGGGAGGGGCTGAGAGAGAGGGAGACACAGAATCTCAAGCAGGTTCCAGGCTCTGAGTTGTCAACACAGCCCGACGCGGGGCTTGAACCTACATTCCACAAGATCATAACCTGAGCCAAAGTCTGATGCTTAATCGACTGAGCCACACAGGTGCCCCATCATCTCCCTTTTCTTTACCACTTGATTTTATTTGATTATTTCTCTTAATTTTTCTAGTGTTTATATTCTTAAATGTATATTTATATCTCTACTACTTAGGTTATCAGCTTTGGATGAAATTTTTTGACCCATGTTGAGGAAATAATGTCCTTAATTACTTATTCCTTTTCCATTTCTCCTTAGTTTTAATTGTGTGTACACTATTATGGTTTACAAACATTTATGTCCTGTTGTGTAGCCACATTTCACAGGTGTTTCAGTTCTTAGTTCTCTAGTTAAAATAGCTTCACTGCTCACTGCTAGTCTGTTGCTATAGTTTGTCTCTTGGTTCGTTGAAATTTTTTCCATCAGGGATTTTATTTATTTATATCATGGAACTATGTTCCTTGAGTTCTTATATGCTCAAAACTGTTTATCTGTTGTCATTATATTTGAAATACAATTCTGTGGAGTATAAAATTGTTGAGTAAAATTCTTTTCCTTTAAGGGCTTTGTAATCTGTGTCCTTTGGTTTTCTGCTTTAAACAGTGCTGTTGTGTGAAGTCTGAAGCCAATCTTTTTTTTTTTTCCTTAAAGATTTTGTTTTGGGGGCATGTGGGTGATTCAGTCAGTTAAGCATCTGACTCTTGGTTTTGGCTTAGGTCATGATCCTGCAGTGTGACTTTGAGCTCTCATTGGGCTCTGTGGTGACAGTGCAGAGCCTTCTTACGATTCTCTCTCCCACTCTCTCTGGTCCTGCTGTGCTCTTGCCGCCCCCCCCTTCAAAGTAAATAAACTTAAAAAAAAAGAGGTTTTATTGTATTTTTAAAATATTTATTGAGAGAGAGAGAGAGCATGCAAGCAAGGGAGAGGCAGAGAGAGAGGGAGATAAAGGATCTAAAGCAGGCTCTGTACTGACAGCAGAGAGACCAGTGTAGGGCTCAAACTCATGAACTGCAAGATCATGACCTGAGCTGAAGTTGGATGCTTAACCAACTGAGCCACCCAGGTGCCCCTATTTATTTATTTTAGAGAGAGAGAGAGAGAGACAGTCGGAGAGAGAGGGAGAGAGAGAATCCCAAGCAGGCTCCATGCCTAACACGGAGCTTGATGTGGGGGATTGATCTCACTACTGTGAAATCATGACCTGAGCCCAAATCAAGTCAGACACTTCGAGAGCACCTGAGTGGCTCAGGTAAGCATCCGACTTCAGCTCAGGTCATGATCTCACAGTCTGTGGGGTTTGATCCCCGCATCAGGCTTTGTGCTAACAGCTCAGAGCCTGGAGCCTGTTTCAGAATCTGTATCTTCCTCTCTCTCTGCCCCTCCCCAGCTCATGCTCTGTCTCTCTGTTTCAAAAAGAAATAAACGTTAAGAAAAAAAAAGTCAGACACTTAACCACCTGAGCCACCCAAGTGTCCCTTAAAAAATTTTATTTATTTATTTTTAAATGTTTATTTATTTTGAGAGAGAATGTATGGAGGAGAGAGAGAATCCCGAGCAGGTTCCATGCTGTCAGTGCAGAGCCCGACTTGGGGCTTAATCTTAGGAACTTCAAGATCATAACCTCAGGTGAAACCAAGAGTTGGACACTTAACTGACTGAGCCACCCAAGTGCCCCTAAAGATTTTATTTTTAAGTAATCTCTACATCCAGTGTGGGCTTGAATTTAAGAACCCTGAGATCAAGAGTCACATGTTCTACCAACTGTACCAGCCAGGTGCTCCCTGAAGCCAGTTTTTCTTTTTACCCTGTTGCCTTTCTTCCCCCAGTAGGTGGTTTAACTTTTTTGTCAGGATATGGAAAGGATATTTTTCTCCTAATTCTTAAAGTCTAGTAACTTTTTTGGTCTATGTGTTGGTATTGCTAATTCTGAATTGGTTTTTCTAAGGGCTCAGTGAATGTTCTTGTGGGGCTAGGGGATTATCTTGAATAATTCAGGAGCACCAATTAAGTGTATGAGGGGGTCTCTGTTATCTGCCTCTCCCATATTTATTATTTTTTTCTAATTTTTCAAATTCTTCACTTCAGTTATTTATTCTGTTATAGGGTTAGCTACTGTAAATTTCCCCCTTTGCATTATATAAATCAGTGGTTTTTAGTTTCCACTTGTGGACAATATTGTCATCATCACCACAATCTCATTCCTCAATTCCATTTCATTTTTGCATGCTTTTTTTAAGTCTTGTTTTCTTTGCCCTGTTTTGTCCTTCATGCATCATTGAAGCATATAATGTCAATTTGTCCCATCCATGATTAGTGGTGTTAACTTTGATCACTTTTTAAGTGATCTTTTTTTAAGGTGATCACTTTTTAAGGTGGTATCCATCAGATTTCTTCCTTATAGAGTTACTGTTTTCTCTCTTGTAATTGATAATTTGTGGGGAAGTACTTTGAGTCCATGTAAATATTCTGTTTTCATTGAGCTTTGTACTGTTTTTAGCATCCATTAATGATTAAAAAAATTTTTTTTAATGTTTATTTTTGAGAGAGAGAGGCAGTACAAGTCACGGAGGGCCAGAGAGAGAGAGGGAGACAGAATCTGAAGCAGTCTCCAGGCCCTGAGCTGTCAGCAGAGAGCCTGACTTGGGACTTGGTTCTACAACTCTGGGTCATGACGTGAGCTGAAATCAAGATTTGGACGCTTAACCCAACTGAACCACCAGGTTCTTCTCTGAACAGTTTTTTTTTTTTTAAGTAAATCATGGGGCGCTTGGGTGGCTCAGTTGGGTAAGCATCTGACTTCACTTCAGGTCATGAACTCACGCTTAGTGAGTTGGAGGCCCACGTTGGGCTCTGTGCTGACAGCTTGGAACCTGGAGCCTGCTTCAGATTCTATGTCTCCCTTTCTCTCTGCCCCTCACCTGCTCATTCTCTCTCTCTCTCTCAAAAATAAATAAACATTATTTAAAAATAAAAGTAAATTGTGTCATTTTTAACCACTGATTGTATATTCCTGAATACGTGTTCATTAGGGTTACTGTATGCTTAATATCATAGAGCAGAAGAATTTGTTAGGTATCAGACTAGAAGATAATGGAAATGTTTTCTGTTGCTTGGTTATTCTATGTCTTCAATAACTCTTGATTGTTTCATGTCTCTATAATTTGCTCTACAAATATTTAAGTGAGTACTATTGTACTAAGTCATAGTATGCTTCATAAACCCTTAAGATTTTACCTGGAAGGACCCTTAGATTTTTAATTTTTTTATTAAAGAGAGAGAGAGATGAGCAGGGCAGAGAGAGAGAGAGGGAGAGAGAGAGAGAGAGAAAGAGAGAGAATCCCAAGCAGGCTCCACTCTCCATGAGGAGCCCAGCACCAAGCTCAGTCCCACCACCTGGGGATCATGACCTGAGCTGAAATAGAGTCAGACACTCAGTCGACTGAGGCACCCAGGCACCCGTCTTATCCTATTTTCATTATCGAGCATTTTATTTCTGATTTCTACTTTTAAATATGGTTTTCAAAAAGTGCTAATGTCAAATGATGTTAATAATGATAATAAAAACAGGCCAGGATTTATAAAATAGTTACTATGTACCGGGGATGATGCTAAGTACTTTTCTCAGATTATCTCACAGGAAAACTATGATATAGGTGCTATTATCCCCATTTTGCAGCTGAGGAAACAGACTCATGGAGGTGAAATAACTTATCCAAAGTCAAGTAACTAAGTAAGGGGATAATCAGGCAGGACTTGCAACAGAGGCACTCTTGTCCTCTCTGCTCCTTGTATGAAAATGCAGTGCTTTTGGTGGAAATTTATACTGCCTTTTATATGCTGTGACTGCATTAAACACCCCTGTATGTGTGCCACTGTGCTGATGTTCCACACAGCTATTCTGTGTGATCTAGAAAATTCAAATGGGTGTTTGGTATTGTGTGGCTGACATAGAGCTTATATAGCGTAGTGGATCTTACTAATCTGTTTTATTTCTTTTTCTCCACACCTCAGTCTTAATTTTAAAGACCCTGAAGCAGTCAGAGCTCTGACTTGTACTCTTCTAAAGGAGGATTTTGGACTTTCTATTGATATTCCACTGGAAAGACTGATTCCTACAGTTCCCTTGAGACTCAACTACATTCATTGGGTAGAAGATCTAATTGGGCATCAGGACTCGGACAAAAGTACTCTCCGAAGAGGAATTGACATAGGTATGTATAGTTTTAAACTCTTTTTTAGTTAAACATAAATTTCATAAGTTTTGCAAAGTTAGTTTCTTTGTAAACTGCTCTTTTGGGTATTTGCGTATGAAAGAAGTTGGCTACAGATATTGCTGTTCTTATTTGCTACACTTAGGCTTTTCTGCCATTTATTTTTCTTAAAAAGGATTTTCAGCACCAGACAGGGAGCAAGGGTATAACTGTGCAGGATGCAAGTGAGGCTCTTGTTTTCTTAGCTCTTTAGATTACCATATTCATGTCTGTGTCTTTGGGGCATTATTTTTCTCTGAATTTTTTGGTGTTAGTACATAGTCCCCATATTGGGCTATTGTGTGAGAGCCATTTAATAAAAGATCATGTGGGCTGAATACTTTCAGGAATCTCTTATTAATAGAAGACATTTAATCCAAAGTCAAAGAGAGGGAAAAGGTCATTGACTTAAAGTAAGGTGTTCTCTTAGTTGTAAACTTTTAATAATAGAAAAGACTGTTCATTTGAGAGATTAAGAAGAGATACAGAAGGAAATGAAGCTAGGGTATGTTTTGCAAATATAAATGTATTGTGTGTTTATCATAGCCAGTGTTTTATTTTATTTTGTGTGAGAGGGCACCAGTGAGTGCGGGGATGGGGGGCAGGAAGAGAGAGAGAAAGAAAGAAGTGAGGCTCACCCGGGGCTTATGTTTTACCCAAAGTGGGGCTTGGGCTCACCTATCATGGAACTCAAACTTGGGAACTGTGAGATCATGACCTGAGCAGAATGAAGTCAGATGCTTAATGACTGAGCCACCCAGGCCCCCTATCATAGGCAGTGTTTTAATTTGATAGGGTTAAGAAAAATTTTAAATTCATGACACCTGGATGGTTCAGTTGGTTATGGTTAAGCATCCTACTTTTGGTTTCAGCTCAGGTCACAATCTCATAGTTTTGAGATTGAGCCCTGCATCAGGTTCTCTGCTCTCTGCTGGAAGTGGGAGCCTGCTTAAGATTCTTTTTTTTTTTTTTTCTTTTTATGTTTTATATTTGAGAGAGAGAGAGAGACAGAACCTGAAGCAAGCTCCAGGCTCAGAATTGTCATTACAGAGCCTGACTTGGGGCTTGAACTCATGAGCAGTGAGATCATGATCTAAGCTGAAGTCAGACACTTAACCGACTGAGCCACCCAGACACCTCCAGAAAAATACGGAAAAAATTGTAACCCTTTGGTCTTTACTAGTCCTTTATGGGGACAAAGCTGTGTGACCCTATTTCAAACTATAGTATAATTAATAGGAAACATAGTTTCTAGATAGTAGATGTTTAACTTTGACTTTTGCATGCATTTTCAGCAAACATTTTCAGTCCTCCTCATACATGACCTTTTTAGGTCATTTATTGACGACTCCATTCTCCTTTATGCATGTTCCTCCATGGGCTTCCTCTGGTTTTCCTCTTTCCCTTCTAGTCACTCTTCTTCCCTCGCAGAGGCTTCCTTTTCTCTGTGTGGCCATTAGATGTTGGGAATCCTTGGAGCTCAATCTTTAGCTCTTTTCCTGTTGAGCATCTTACTTCTAGGCAGTTTCATCCACATCTGTGACTGTTTTCCACCTCCAATCAAATAACCCACAAATTTATATGTTCTGCCAACTTGGGTTATCTTGAGCTATAGTCTATTATGTCAGCAACACAGATCTTTCAAGAACATCTCAGACTTTGCTGTATCAAAAACCAGACTCATGTTCTTTTCTTTCTAATCTTGGTCCTTTTTTTTGGTTCCTTTTTTCAGTGGATCCACCACAGTCCACTCTGTCATCCTTGATATTCTTTGATATGTCTCTCCATTTTCACCAAGAATGTCTATCTTCATTTCCTATTGGTTTTGTTTCTTAAATACTTCTTTAATTATCTACTTTCTGCCATCTCCACTGTAGCCATTTCAGTCCCAGTCACTGTTCTCTTCCCGGGTCTACAGAATTACTTTTTAACTATTCTCATCTACTCTGTTGCCTCTCCATTTCATTCTCCAGAAAGTATGTATAGATCCATACCTGGTCACATCTTTTATCACTTTACTGGCTTCCTGTTGCTTCTGTGATAAACACCCAATACCCTGACTTAGGCTGTTAAAGTGTCCGTTGTCTGTTCCCTGCCCTCTTCTCTGGGCCTCTCTAAGCCTCATCCAGTGTGCTTTTCTTCCTTGTTTCCTATAGTTGTGGTCCTTAGTTCTTCTAATAAGGCACCATGACTTTGTACATGTTTTTCCCTCTGCCTGGAACTTCCCCATCGTCACCTTGTTAATCTCATTTATACTGTAGTTGTCAACTCAAGGCTTATTTTCTCAAGAAAGCCTTCTCTGACCTTCTAGCATGTGATAGATTCCTTGATTGTGAGCTTTAGAAAACCATGTTTTTTCCTTCAGGGTATTTGTTTTAATTTTTAACACTTTCACTTGTCTGATTAGTGTCTTTCTCAGCCACTAGATTGCAGAGTGCAGAACCTGTAAACCTTTTTGCTTACTAACTATAATATCCCAAGGCTTAGCAAAGTTTCTGGCACATAGTAGGTGTCTGATAATTTGTTGAATGTTTGTGGATAAATACATCATTCTTTCAACATTCAAAATTCTGAACACCCCATATGAGCTAAGCACTATGTAAAAACGAGGGGTTTAGCTAAACCTCTGCCCTTTTATGTTCATGGCAGAAGATTGGGTGATGGATTATAGAAAATTTAAGAGCCTACTAGGTACTAATTTATTTTAATTATGCCCCAAACTGTCTAAAATAACACTTGGGGATATAGGAGGTTAATGGATTTTAGCTCTTCACAAGGGGCACTCTTGATGAAATCACATTCATTCTAATTAGGGTTTTATATGACTTCTTCCCCCAGACTCCCATCAGTTTGCTCTAATTTTCTGATTATACACTTTCCATTTTTATTTATCATTACAAGAGTTATTATCCATTTAAAAATGTTATTCACCTTTCTGGGGAAACTAGCATGTTAGATTTCAAGTCTTTTGGTCTTAAGAATTGAGAGCCTTGATTTTATTTATTTATTTATTTATTTGGCAAGGAACATGTCTTTTACCTGTGTTTATTATCCTGGAAGCAGCTGAAGGAAAGTGTACTTTTTTCTTTTTGCTCTTTGCTTTTGAATGGATTGAAGTATGAAGAGAGAGGCCGTTGTGTGAGAATCAAGAGCCTGGTATCTGCTCCAGATATTTTTCCTACAGAGCTTCTTAAATTTTCTTACTCTGAATGACTCTGGCTTACCAGAATGGCTAGCAGGGACTCTGTAATTGTGGCTTCTGAGAGGTGGTTCCCTCTACCACCCCTTCCTTTGCTACCTCATACATTCCCAAGGGGTGTTTGCCCAGTAGCACCAGGGCCAGGATGCCATAGGAAGTATAGCAGTCGTGGTGACTGTCAAGGGCTGTTGGTTATTGTCGTGTTTTTTATTAGCCTGTTTAGAATACTTAGTGAAGCAATAAGAGACCCTGGGTTTCCTCTGGGGGAGGAGTATCCCAAGCCCCCATCTCTTCCTGCCAACTCCTTAGAAGACTAGACTGGCATCTAGATGTGGTCCAGGGAAAGCAGGCCTGAAGTGGCCTGATGAGGGCTGACTACTGTAGGCCTTCAGGATAAACACTGGCTTTACTTCTCTTGAATGTGTGCTTTGGGATCTTATTGGCCAAGATTAGTCAATGGTCATAAAACAGTATTTGTGGTTAGTATACATATAGTCCAATTGATGGTTAGAGGATCTTCATACGAGTTTAGGACCAAACCCGAGTTGTCAAAGAGTAAGTTTTGCCTGGAACTATTGCCTTTGAATGTCTCTCTTGAAACTGTAGTAGGGGAAGCCAATGATTGGTGTTTTAGATATGGATCAAATGTCTTTCCATGTCATCACATCTAAGATACGAATTCTCTCAAGTTTTTTTTTTTGTTTTATTTTGTTTTTTTAACTTCTGATTTCCTTCAAGTAACAACATAACAGATCTTTAGGTGTTAGTCGTTTAAATAATCATAACTATTTATTTATTTATTTATTTATTTATTTATTTATTTATTTATTTTAGTGTCTTTATTTTATTTTGAGAGACAGAGAGGGAGCAGGGGAAGAGAGAGAGGAAGACACAGAATCTGAAGCAGGCTCCAGGCTCTGAGTTAGCTGTCAGCACAGAAACCGACGCAGGGCTCGAACCCACAGACTGTGAGATCGTGACCTGAGCTGAAGTTGGATGCTTAACTGACTGAGCCACCCAGGCACCCCATAATCATAATAATTTTATACCCTGTGTATTTTTTTCTGCTTTTGGGGAGTGGGATGTACATTGATTTTTTTTTAAGCATTGATTTTAAGAAAATCAAATTTTGCGTGCGATTTAAAATGAAAAATTGTATAAAGTAAATGATTATTTTGACAGTTTTTAGCTTATAAGTCCTGTAGTCCTTGATCAGCAACCAGTTATGTGCACTTCATTACATGTAGCACTCAAAAGAGCAAGGTTTTTGTCCTCTAGGAAAGTTGAATCCAATTATGTCAGGTAAGGCTGACACACCTGAAATGACTAGAGAACCCAGCAGCTATGGTATGTGTACAGTCAGGTACCAGCTTAGGATTTCTACTATCAAGGTTATAAGAATTTTAAGAAGGGGAAGAATGGTGTTTTGCTTATTATTCTCACCTTTCCATCTGGTATGTGCAACGTGTTTTGAATTTTCATTTTACTAGGTACGGGGGCATCCTGCATCTATCCTTTACTTGGAACAACCTTAAATGGCTGGTATTTCCTTGCCACCGAAGTGGATGATATGTGCTTCAACTATGCAAAGAAAAATGTGGAACAGAATAATTTATCTGATCTTATAAAAGGTTAGCTCTACAGAACAAATACCTCAAGCACTTGTGTTAACCTCTCTTTATAATTTAAGAAATCTCATTTTTTCCTTTAATATATGGAGTTTTGGGACACCTGGATGGCTCAGCCAGTTAAGCGTCTGACTTCGGCTCAGGTCATGATCTCACAGTTCGTGAGTGGGCTCTGTGCTGACAGCCTGGAGCCTGTTTCAGAGTCTGTGTGTCTTTCCCTCTGTCTCTCTCTCTTTCTGCCCTTACCCATGCACACGATCGGTCTCTTTTTCTCTCAAAAATAAATCAACGTTAAAAACAGGTTTTTTTAAAATATATGGACTCTGGTAATTTTTAAAATTATGGTACAGTACATTGTAATGGAGTTTACAGCTCTGTTATCAGTTTTAATGCAGAAGGGAATATAGTAAATACAGTTGATCCTCATAATTTTGTGGATTCTGTATTTGTAAATTTGTCTCTTTGTTAGATCTGCCTACTTGGGGTTATAATTAACCCCAAAATCAATACCTCGGGTACTTTTATGGTCATTCACAGATATGTGCAGAGTGGCAAAAACTTTGAGTCACCCAACATACATGTTTCCAGCTGAAGTTGTACAAGGTGCTGATCTGTCTTGTTTCAGCTGCTTTAAACAAGTGTCCTTTTCATAGTCTATGTAGTGCCACTTTTTTGGCATTTTTAGGCTTTTTCTTGGCGACTTTGCTGTTTAAACATAGTATGAAGTAAAATCTAATGTTCCTTTTTTTTTTTTTTTAATGTTTTATTTCTTTCTAGGAGAGAGAGAGAGAGAGAGAGACAGTGCGAGCAGGGGAGGGTCAGAGAGAGAGGGAGTCACAGACTCTGAAACAGGCTCCAGGCTCTGAGCTGGCGGTCAGCACAGAGCCCGACGCGGGGCTCGAACCCACGAACCGCGAGATCATGACCTAAGCGAAAGTCGGACGTTTAACCGACTAAGCCACCCAGGCACCCCAAATCTAATGTTCCTTAAATACAAGATGAGTGTGATACACCTTTCAAGAAATATGTGTATTAGATAAGCCTCATTCAGACATGAGTTCTAGTGTTGGTGTGATTTCAGTGTTAACGAATCAGCAACGAATCAGCAATGTATATTAAATAAGGTATTTTTAAACAGAAACACATAAAACAAAGTCGTATGTTGATTAGTTGATGAGAATGTGTGACCAGCGGCTTGCTCACAGTTCCCTAACCCTAAATATTTCTCTTAGGAGCCGCTGGTTCTGATTCATTGTCCATGCTGAGTATAGAACAGAACTACCATGAATGTTGGGTGTCTGTATATGAAATAACATAATTAATATAATATAAATAATATGAAATGGCTGTATATGATTAACCTAATCACCAGGATTTTAGAAGGGAAACCTTAAAGTATACCGTCTTTTAAATTTCAGAATATGGAAATCAAGTCCCCTTAGTGACCAGTTACTTTTGAATATTTGTGCTTACTATTATATTTAAAGAGCTGTTCGAGTTTTCTTTTCTTCATTAAGGAGAATTTATGTCTCTTTCTGGAAAAACTAGACTTTTCTCACTAGTGTTAAGCATGTTATTCTCAGGGGAGATACTAATAATGTGTTCTTCAGTTGTCCATTCATGTAGTACACAATACTCCAAAATCCTGCAACTTTAAACAGTAAATATTTATGTCATGTTTGTGTGGGCTGGAAATTTGGGCATGGCCTAGTTAGGCGGTTCTGGTCTTTCATGAGGTTGTAGTTATCTGAAGGATTGACTACTAGTAGAGATTTGCTTCCAAAAGCCATTCACTTATATGGCTATTGATAGGAAGCCTTGATTGGTTCATTCATATGCTTCTTTCCTCTAGACCAGTTGAGTATCCTTAGGTGCATCAGCTGGCTTCTCTTAGTGCAGGTAATTCAAGAAATAGGACAAGGAGGAAGCCATTTTTCTCTTATGACCTAGCCTCAGGAGTGACATCTTGTCACTTCGTCATATTCATTTTATTCAATAAAAGTGAGTCATTGAGTGCAACCTATACTCAAGGAGAGGGATATTAAGCTCCACCTCTTTAAGGAACTAGTATTATAGAATCTCTGGTTATATTTGAAAACTGCCTCTGCATTAACAGTAGTTAACAGTTCTATATTTTCTCCTAGTGGTAAAAGTACCACAGAAGACACTCCTGATGGATGCTCTTAAAGAAGAATCTGAGATAATCTATGATTTTTGCATGTGCAACCCACCCTTTTTTGCTAATCAGTTGGAAGCAAAGGTAAAATATCTTCTGCTTTAAAATAATTAGATATTTATCTAAGTTGTTGATGTTGGCAAAGATAAGAGCAAAGAACAACTTTTATTTTGGAGGCTGTAGCAGGATGGTTCTGGTATCAAGCACCTGAAGACTCAGTTCAGATTGACTTAATGAAGGAAGTTTATTGGTTTACATATCTTACACATCATAAATCAGTTTATTTATGTGTATATGAACATATTAAAAGTACCCATTTCTTTTTATAACAGTTTTATTGATATAATTCACATGCCATACAGTTCTCCCACTTAAAGGATATAATTTAGTTATTCTTAGTGTATTCACAGAGTCATGCTGCTATCACTGCAGTCAATTTTAGAACATTTTCCTTGCTCCCCAGCTACCCCCTCTCCCACTGCCACTAGGAAAAAATCCCTCTTCATTAGCAGTTACTCTCAGTTTCCCGCAGCTCCTACAGTCCTAGGTAACCAACAGTGTACTTTGTTTTTATGGATTTGCCTGCTTTGGATATTTCATGTAAATGGAATCATACATTCTGTAACCGATTCCTTTCACTAAGCATAATATATTTTAAAGTTTCATCCATTTTGTGGCACATGTCAGTACTTAATTTCTTTTTATTACCAAAAAATATTTCATTGAATGGAAATACCACATTTTCCTTATCTATTAGTTGATGGACATTTGAGTTGTCTCTGCTTTTTGGTTGTTAAGAATAATGCTGGGGCGCCTGGGTGGCTCAGTCTTGGTTAAGTGTCCGACTTTGGCTCAAGTCATGATCTCATGGTTCATGGGTTCAAGCCCTGCGTCATGCTCTGTGCTGACAGCTAGCTCAGAGCCTGCAGCCTGTTTCGGATTCTGTACCTCTCTCTCTCTCACCCTACCCTGCTCATGCTGTCTTTCTCTCTCTCAGAAATAAATAAAACGTTAAAAAAAAAAAAAAAAGAATAACATTACTATGAGCATTCATGTACAAATGTTTGTGTAGGAGTGGAATTACTGGGTCATGTGATAACTGGGTTTAGTTGTTTGAGGAACTGCCATACTGTTTTCCAAAGTGGCTGCACCATTTTACATTTCCACCAGCACCACCCAGTATGTGAGGCTTCCAATCCAGTTCCTCCATATCCTTGTCAACACTTTTGTCATATATCTTTATGATTATAGACATTATAGTGGGTATGAAGTAGTATAAAGTGATATCACATCTTGGTTTTGATGCATATTTCCCTAGTGGCTAATTATGTTGAACATCTTTTCATGTGCTTATTCACAGCTTGTATGTATATCTTCTTTGAACAATGGCAATTCAGGTCTTTTACCCATTTAAAAATTGAATTATTTTTTTACAGTTATTGTTGTAAGAATTTATGTATTCTAACACAAGTCCCTTACTAGATTTATTATTTGCAAACATATTCTCCTATTTTGTGAGATGTCTTTTCACTTTCTTAATGGAGTCCTTTGCAGCTCAAAAGTTTAATATTAAGGAGTCCAGTTTCTCTAAGAAACCACTGTGTAGTCCAAGGCCATGAAGATATACTGCTATGTTTTCTTCTAAGAGCTTTATAATTTTACCTTTTATATTTATTTACTTATTTTTAATGTTTTTTTTATTTTTTTAATTTATTTCTAGGAGAGAGAGAGAGACAGCGTGAGCAGGGGAGGGTCAGAGAGAGAGGGAGTCACAGACTGAAACAGGCTCCAGGCTCTGAGCTGGCAGTCAGCACAGAGCCCGACGCGGGGCTCGAACCCACGAACCATGAGATCATGACCTAAGCGAAAGTTGGACACTTAACCGACTAAGCCACCCAGGCGCCCCTACCTTTTATATTTAGATCTTTGATCCGTTTGCGTTTTTTAATTTGGTTTGAAGTAGGAGTGGATTAAAATTTTCACCAGATCCTGTTGTTTTTGTACAGGGAGTAAACTCTCGAAACCCTCGGAGACCGCCGCCTAGTTCTGTAAATACAGGAGGCATCACAGAGATCATGGCAGAGGGAGGTGAATTAGAGTTTGTTAAGAGGATCATTCATGACAGTTTACAACTTAAAAAAAGATTAAGGTAAGTTAGTTATAACAACATGGACTGTTTTCTCCCTATGTAATTCGGAAAGAAACCATGTCATGTAGAGGAGATGTAATCACAGTAGCCTGAAGAATAAACAGATACCAATCCTGAAGAAGCCTGAAGAATAAACAGATCCTGCAGTGTGCAAAGACCCTGTTTCTGAGGATGCTCTCGTCCCCTTTATTGATTTGTGTTTCTTATAATTGTCTACGCTACATGGATAGAAAGGGAAATACCGTATGATTGTATTGTTCTCATTGGTATGGTACTGTGGTGGAACAAAACTGATTCAAATATGGCTTTTGATTAGAAAACAGATGGGTTCAGATCTGTCCCGTGAACCAGAATAAATTTGTTGCCTAGTCCTTGAAGCCATTTATGTTCTTGGAATCAGTCTCCCAAACAATGACAGATGTGAGGACATTGAGCTGTCAAGAACTTAATGAAGGGAAACTGAGATCACTAACCAGTTCCAGAGGAGAGTTAAGGCCATTTCTTTTTAAAAGCTAATTATTTCGGACAACACGCCTGTCATTAAAGGAACATAAAGTACTCAAAAAGTGCTATTTATCTCGCTTGACTTCTCACTCTGCCAAGTGTTGTTGAAATGATGGATAATGTGGTAGTTCAAAAGTAAAGGTCTTTTAACCCTAGCACTTAGCACTGGGGCATAGAGAAGATTTTTTTAAATTGTGATAAAATACACATAACATAAAATTTATAGGTATGGGTTTTTGTTTTTGTTTTTTGAGAGCAAAAGAGAGCTTGTGCAAGTGAGGAAAGGGCAGAGGGAGAGATAGAGAATCTTAAGCAGGTTCCACACTCAGCAGGGAGCCCAATGTGAGGTTCAGTCTCACCACCTTGGGATCATCACCTGAGCCAAAATCAAGATTCAGATGCTCAACCGACTGAACTACACAGGTACCCCAAAAACTTACAGTTTTAACATAAAACTATACATTTTAAAGTGTATAATTTAGGGGCACCTGGGTGGCTCAGTCGCTTGAGCATCCAACTTGGCTGAGGCCAGGATCTCAGCTGCTCATGGGTTTGAGCCCCACGTGGAGCTCTGTGCCTGGAGCCGCTTTGGATTTTGTGTCTCCTTTCTCTCTGCTCCTCCGTCACTTGCACTCTGTCTCTCTCTCAAAAATAAACATCGAAAAAAGTAAGTGTATAGTTTAGTAGTATTAAGTACGTTTATATTGTTATGCAGCTAATCTCCAGAACTCTTTTGTGTAAAACTAAAATTCCCTACCCATTAAACTAACCAACAGCCCCTCTTTCCCCGCCTTTTGCCCCAGTCTCTGGCAAATAACATTCTTTCTGTCCCTATGAATTTGACTATTGTAGGGGACTTTTTATAGTATTTGTTCTTTTGTGACTGGCTTCTTTCACTTAGCATAATGTCCTCAATGTCCATGTATGTTATAGCATGTGTCACAATTTTCTTCCTTTTATTAGAAAAAATTTTTTTTTCCTTTTTAATGTTTTATTTATTTCTGAGAGAGAGACAGAGTGAGCAGGGGAGGGTCAGAGAGAGAGGGAGACACAGAATCTGAAACAGGCTCCAGGCTCTGAGGTAGCTCTCAGCACAGAGCCCGACGTGGGGCCCAAACCCACGAACTGTGAGATCATGACCTGAGCCGAAGTTGGACGCTTAACCGACTGAGCCACGCAGGCGCCCCTATTTCCCTCCTTTTTAAGGCTGAATAATATTAATATTCCATTGTATGTATATGCCACATTGTTTATTCATTTAGCTGTTGATGGGCACTTGGGTTGTTTCACTCTTTTATCTATTGTGTATAATGATGGTATGAACACAAATTTGCAAGTATCTTGTAAGACTCTGCTTTCAGTTCTTTTGGGTATAGGCCCAGAGTGAAATTGCTGAATAAGGAAGACTTTTTTCTCCTTCATATGTGTTTAATACTGCTTATCTTAGTAAAAGGCCAATTCTAAAACCAATGAATACCCTAATTTTTAAAATGTGAATTTATACATTTGTGGAAAGCAACTGGATTATTGGACATTCTCCCTCTCAGAGGATTTATTTAGACCTTGTTGAAGCCAAAGGTTAATACATTTCTGCTTTAAACTGATTTGTTCAATGACATATTAGATATAAAGAAGAAAGTGACTTAAGTTACACTGAGCATTGAGAAGAGTCTGAATGAGTAAAATAAACTTAAGGTAACAGAGCATTGAAACTCATAAAAAGAGGTAAATTGGGCTGTGTGGCCATTTGAGGATCTACTGTCAGCTTTTGAGGGGACTGAAGCCAACCAGGAAAATGGGGAAGGTTGTTTTCAGGAGGCTTTTAATCAGTAAATTTCTGTTAACAGATAAAGTCCCACTTGAACTACAAAAATATGTTTTCAAGGAACACCATTGTAAGGAAGAGAAATTGATCAGTATGTTTCAGGTCTGCCTATACCCGGCTTCATGGCTGCCCCCAAATTGAATGAAAGGTATACGTTTGCTAGAAAGGATAAATTGCAAGAGTCCATCATACTTAGGGAGAGCTGACCATTTTGAGCTTGGTATCACAGATGGGAAACATTATCCATTTATGATTTATTTGAAAATAGGATTCAGCAGTTTTGTCCTCTCTGTTGGGATTCATGCAGATTGAAAGGGATGATAAGGAAGAGACGAAATCAACTCTTTTTTTTTTTTTTTTTAAGACAAAAGCAGTGTTTTGGGGTAGTATTGCTCATAAATGTTTATAATTTCATATTGTTCCATGTTGACTTTTCATTTGTACATAGTACCAGTTCACGTCCTTCTGAATATTTTCATAGTGGACATAATATTTATTTATTTTAGTTTTAGAATATCATACCTTTTATTGAGTGACTTACATGTATGCTGTGTCACTTAATTCTCAAAATACCTTGTACCATATGTATTACTTTTCTTCATTTTGTAGATGATAAGGAACTGAGACTGAGAAAGTAGAATGACTTGCTCAGGTCACAAAGCTTTTTATTTATTTATTTATTTTTAACAAATAGTTTATTGTCAAGTTGATTTCCATATAATACCCAGTGCTCATCCCCACAAGTGCCTTCCTCCATGCCCATCTGTCCCCTCCCCCCATCAGTCCACAGTTTGTTCTCAGCATTCAAGAGTCTCTCATGGTTTGCCTCCCTCCCTCTCCCCTACTATTTCCCCCCTTCTTCTCCCCCATGGTCCTTCGTTAAGTTCCTCCTAATCCTCCTATATGTGCAAACATACGGTATTTGTTCTTCTCTGCCTGACTTATTTTGCTCAGCATAACACCCTCAAGGTCCATCCATGTTGCTACACATGGCCAGATTTCATTCTTTCTCATTGCCATGTAGTATTCCATGGTATAGATAAACCACATCTTCTTGATCCATTCATCTGTTGATGGACACTTAGGCTCTTTCCATGTTTTGGCTATTGTTGAGAGTGCTGCTATGAACATTGGGGTACATGTGCTCCTATGCTTCAGCATTTCTTTATCCCTTGGGTAAATTCCTAGCAGTGCTATTGCTGGGTCCTAGGGGAGTTCTATTGTTAATTTTTTGAGGAACCTCCACACTGTTTTCCAGAGGGGCTGTACCAGTTTACATTCCCACCACCAGTGTAGGAGGGTGCCCGTTTTTCCACATCCTCGTCAGCATCTAGAGTCCTCTGATTTGCTCATTTTAGCCACTCTGACCGGCGTGAGGTGGTATCTCAATGTGGTTTTGATTTGTATTTCCCTGATGAGGAGGGAGGCTGAGCATCGTTTCATGTGTCTGTTGGCCATCTGGATGTCCTCTTTGGAGAAGTGTCTGTTCATATCTTCTGCCCATTTCTTCACTGGGTTGTTTGTTTTTCGGGTGTGGAGTTTGGTGAGTTCCTTAGATTTTGGATACCAGCCCTTTATCTGATATGTCATTTGCAACTCTCTTTTCCCATTCCGTCGGTTGCCTGTTAGTTTTACGGATTCTTTCCTTTGCCATGCAGAAGCTTTTAATCTTGATGAGGTCCCAGTAGTTTATTTTTGCTTTTGATTCCCTTGCTTTTGGGGATGAGTTGACATACTATTTAAACCACTGTGCTACTCTGAAAAACCGTATACAGATACACCTTGGAGATACTGTAGATTTGGTTCTAGACCACCACCGGGAAGTGAATATCGCAGTATTAAGCAAGTCAAATGAACTACTTGGTTTCCTGGTACATATAAAAGTTATATGCACAATACAGCTATACTATAGTAAATGTTCAATAGCATTATATCTAAAAAAGGTATATGCCTTAATTAAAAAATGCTTTATTGCTAAAAAATGCTGTGTGAACATTTTTGTTCAGCATCAGTGAGTTGTAATCTCTCTGCTGGTGGGGGGGATCTCTGTGTTGATGGCCGCAACTGGTGGTGGCTGAAGCTGGGGTGCTGTGTCAGTTTCTTTATTTTTTTATTTTTTAAAAATATTTTTTATTTATTTCTAGGAGAGAGAGAGACAGCGTGAGCAGGGGAGGGTCAGAGAGAGAGGGAGACACAGACTCCGAAACATGCTCCAGGCTTTGAGCCGGCAGTCAGCACAGAGCCTGACACGGGGCTCGAACCCATGAACCGCGAGATCATGACCTAAGCGAAAGTCGGACGCTTAACCGACTAAGCCACCCAGGCGTCCCTGTGTCAGTTTCATTAAATAAGAACAGTGGAGTTTGCTGCATCCATTGACTCTTTCAAACAATTTCTCTGTAGCATGTGGTGCTGTCTGATAACATTCCACTCACAGTAGACTTTCAAAATTGGAGTTAATTCTCTCAAATCCTGCTGCTGCTTACATACTAAGTTAATGGAATATTCTAAATCCTTTGTTGTCATTTCAACAGTCTTCACAACATCTTCACCAGAAGTAGATTCCATCTCAAGAAACTTTCGTTACTCATCCACAGGCAGCATCTCCTCATCCATTCAAGGTTCATCATGAGATTGCAGCAGCTGAGTCCCCTTTCAAGTTCTGCTTCTA